TTCAATAAAAGAATGAACTAAAATGTTCAGATTGTCTAATTTCTTTTCCGTAAAAAATGTTAAAATCGTCGACTCATTTATGACATTTTTCCTTTGAATTCTGTTTGCCTTGTTTTGGTTATTGATTTTCGAAGCGAGGCACAATTTTCTTTGCTGCAGCTGAAATCCTGAGCATGAATTAACGGTTACACTGTCACAATGTTTAATGCTGTGTGCCATCATAATAAAGAGTTCTTTTTCCCGTGAATGACGAAGGGATCCGAAGAGCCATTTCACAATCATGAAAATCAGCACTAAACAGACACTAAGCTTACAGAATTTGCTCCTCATATTAAAATACATTCACATTATTGACCTTTAGAAAAAAGACAGTGTATTCACATGAACATTATTTTTTGCCGATATTCTCGGAGCAGCACTATCATCGCACACGCTAATTTGCTCGGATCGGGATATTCTAATAGCAGCCCATCGTCTCAAGCCACGGTCCGGAGTCCGCATATATAGCTCTCTCCAGATGGGAGAGGAGCGTACATTTTGGCCGTGGTTTGCGACGATGATAGCAGTCTTGTTGAGGAGAGAAAGGATGCTGCATACTTAATAAAGTTAATGCCATTAATTTTTGTAAATAAAGAAGATCATGGATCGACGCGTGTAATAGATATCTCAAAACAAGTTCTCGATCATACAACACTGTTAATTTAAAATATAAACAATAACAAATAAACTTGTATCCACGCAACGACAGGGGTCCAACGGCAACGTGTTGACTCAGGACCCCTGGTATTGCGAGGATGGGAAATTGAAAGAATAAAAAATGTTGCCCAAAGGCAATAGAATAAAACATATGGAGATAACGAATAGCATTCAAAATCAAAAGTCCCTAAAACAATACAAAAATAGGAGCAGGGCAAACACGGACCTCCAAAACATAAGAGGTGGGATCAGATGCCATGGAAGAGTAAGCATCCCCTGCCGACCGGTCACACCCGTCGTGTGCTCCCTATCATGATCGGGGAATAACGGGAAAATCCGTCGTCAGTTAAGTGTACGTGTATAAATAATGGACTTACGATTAGTTTGAAACACGTCAGTCAGCATCTGACTCAATGATAAATTGTATTTGCTGCAAAGGTTATTGTATCGACCACAGAACTTACGAAATGATGTCTTTAAACGAGACTGCTGATATTCTTGTTTCGTCAACTTGTTTGTCAATAATTTACCTCGTTTCAGAAATTGTTCAAATAGCATGATCAGGGATCAACAAAATAGTTTAATACTCTTTAACAAATTTTGAAGCAAATCTATACAATTTTACTTAATTGTCGGTACTTTTCTTCATTTGTCACGTTCACCATGCAATTGAAACTTATGGAACAATGTTTCTTGAGCATTATAAGTAAAAATCTTATTCAAGCTCACATTTGTCTCTCTTGATATTTGATGAAATTTCTAGAATATTTCAATCCAATGGAAATACTCAGAAAGCATGACTACGTTGAGTTAACGTTGGTTCATGATTGAACAGTTGGCTGATAGTTGGCGTTTAATAGACAGCATTTGGGCCAACTTTGGACCAAAGTTACTATGTAAGTCATCTCTTACTTACTCAACCCGCTGAGATTATTAAGTTGGTCCAACTTGATCCAACGTCAACCAATTCCGTTTTGCAATACTTTCTAAGGAAGTTGGGAGTCCAAAGTTGGCTCAACGTTAGCACAAAGTTTGTAATGCAACCTTATAGCGAAGTTGATATTTTAATCTGGTAGCAAGTCAGTGTGATGGCCAAACGTTAACCCAGTGAAATCTCGAGAGTGTTTTTTTTCTTGTAGTTAACATGAGCACATTGGTCCAACTTTGGCCAATAGACTGCGAACTAAAGGACGATGCACATGAGTTGGAAGCATTACGTTGGCCTTAGTGGGACCATGTGCCAGCGGGCAAGAAGGGAATACGAAGGTGAGGTTAGTGAAGATGAAGACAACACTGTCCCAACGTTGTTCCTATGTTAGCACGAGAATTGTTTTTCTATTTTGGGATGAGTAGTTTGGTCCAAGGTTGGTCCAATAGCTGTATTGTAAGTTTTTATGACTCAAATGGAAATTATTACCATCATCAGTGAATTTCCAAACGTTGCCCTATACTTCAGGGTTTTGTCATTCAGCAGCAAGAGTTCTTTTCAGTGGCATCCTATTGTACTAGTATTTAAATAAGAGAAAATTGGACCTATAGATAATTATGAGAACTCTAAAATTACCCCCGGAGACGCTAGATAATGAAAATCCATGGTTTCACCAATCATTTTCATGGTGTATCAGTTGTGGTTTCTGAGAGCCATCAGTCCTTGGTCCTATGCACTCAAGGTATGAGAACAAAGAGATAGACAATACAGATATGGCCCCACATGTCTGTTACTTCTTATATAGAATTTACAGAAAATCTATATTCGGAAGAAATTCTTTCCTCTTCAAAATCATGATGGAAGTAAGTGTGTAAATGCCCTTTCTTTTCTTTGTCAACTGCCAATATTGATTTCAAAGACTAATCTGGCATCCATGATTAACCATTGGTTAACAGTCAGCAGAGCTTCCTTAGGTGTACGTGCTAAAGTTAACCAGTAGTTAGAGAAAATTAAGCAGTTGACAAGAAATATTGACCACGAGTTTTTCTTCCTTCTAAAAGAATTTAACTTTTTGTAACATGAGTTTAGCTTCCTGATACATACAGGTAAGTAACAACACTCAGAGTCATTCAATAATTTTATTACCACCACTGCATAATAATGCAGCTAAAATGTACATTGTATGTAGAATCAGCAAATAGTCTAGGAATGCTAAATGGAGAAAAATGGCTACATGCTAAATGCAAAGAACAATAACTCTAATATTGACAATAATAATGAATACTAATATTTGTATATGGAATATATATAAAATAGATCAATATTTGTAAGAAAAATAAATATTTGAATATAAATAAGATAGCAGAAAAACATCTTGAAAAATGATGGTCCAAATGCATTTTAGTGTGTAACATATTGCACAATGGTAATACAGAGAAACTTGTCTAATCCAGATGTTGTATAATCGAAAATCTTGTCTAATTTGGAGTAAAATTTAAATTCAATAGTGTTAAATGTTGTCTAAACCAGAATGTTGTCTAATCCGGCCAATTTCTTTGGAATCTGTTGTGTTTGTACTAGACAAGTTTTCCTGTGCACTAAATTTTTCTAGGTTAACACAGTTTCAGTGTCTGGGTGAAGAGCACTGATCCCCCTGCTGGAGCTGTGACTGACTGTGATACAGATCCTGCTTCCACACATATCATGGTCTTATACTCCTCATCCCCAAAGTCAGACATTGCTTTAGCTTTATCTTCCCACGGATTCCAAACAACTAGAAATAGGAGATCATTATATATTTAAATATAAACCATAGATAACTCTTGTTTTTTCTTTAAAAATGTTCAAAATAATTGACCAAGTTTAGTTACATTATAACAAAGAAACATAGGAATGAAGGGTTATATATAAAATATAAAGCCCTGCCAGTATTATGTTTCATTTTAATATCGATATCTGACTCACCCACATCTGGGAGGTTGGAGAGCACCAGACTGACAGATTTCTTCCCATCACCTAAACCTTCCACTTCCACTTTGTCTGCTCCACATTTCATATACACTCTGAATAAAAAAAGTATTCTTTATTCAAAATATAAATAAAGAATCTAAAATCTATTACACATATGTACAGTGTTTTTCTAAATGTTCCATTGTTTGCTTTGTTCTTTTACACAGAATTCGATTTAACATGTGAACGCATATTAAATTGACGTAATTCATATCAAAGACCTTCAAATCATAAAAACAAAGCAGTTTGCTTAGTTTATACATGCATAAAAAAAAACACATTGCCAGGGTATTTTCAAGGTTCAAAGTTAAAATTTTTTTTACCTGTCATAATTCTTGTCTATACTAACTACTTTTCTTTCTTCTTTTGAAATCTTGCCTCCCTCAACCTGTTCAGGAATAATAAATACTAGTATCTTATCTGATTTATCATACAATTTATATATCAAATTAGTTAGACTCTATACATATAATATTTTAACATGTGAACATATGATATCAATCATATCATATCATAATAAAGTGCCACGCCACAGCATGATACGCCCGTCAAAAAATTACAATTATCTTAAACAGTCTAGAGTGCAAGAAAATCATGTCAACCTTGATTCTAAGATTTCCATGATTTTTCGATTTTTTTTAAAAACAATATTTGTTTATCCATCCCCTGTGATGTAGGCATTAATTATAACAAATATTACATAACTGATAGATTTCTATACTGTTTGTGTTAGACTTTGTCAAATGCCCATCATATTAAATAATGTCAAATTTAAGTCTTAACAACTTAATCTATACCAAATTAATTTTGAAAATAAAGGCTGGCCATCAAATGACATATGCTATAAACTAACCAACAGTTCTTCTGTCTAATCCCAAAAGGATACAGATAAGACTGCTTGATCAGAGAATGCTCCAAAGAAATGCCTTCCTACATTGAACTCATTAATTAATCTTTGACTGGATGCTTGTCTACTCATTACTCCCAAGATATTAATGGATCTGCACTTTCTACCCTAAAACACTTTTAAAACAAATAAAATACTCAATAATTTCTTTTTATTTAATTCCAGACAGGTTTTATATCTAATTCATATGGACAAGTAGGCATGCGAATTCAAACCCATCCCATAAAATTAGTTTTTAAATTAATATTATTATGTTCCCCAAACGGAGTTTGGGAACATATTGTTATGTTCCCCAAACGAAGTTGGGGAACATATTGTTTTTACTCTGTTTCTTATTATTATTATTTTTCTTCTTCTTCTTCTTCTTCTTCTTCCTGGGTACTTTTTTGTCCCGGAGTGATCTTGTAAACTACACATCTGACTTGGGTAAAACCTTTTTAGGGTCAGTAGGCATGTTATGTAGATTTGTGGAATGAAGGTCATTTTGCGCGCACGTGCTTGCAAGAGCGTGCACGTGCAACACGTGAAATGACCAATATAATAGATATAGCCGTAACTTTTCTATTTTTTGATTACATGCTTTAAAACTCAAAATATAAGTATATATTAGTAGTATTGACATGATGACATGGTCAAAATAGCAAGAACTCACGCGCATGCACGTGCGCTTCGCTCTGATTGGCTGAAACTAAAATCTCAATATCTTTCTTGTTTTTTGGCAAAATCCTTTGAAATTTTGAATATATTCATAGACTTTGAAGATCTACAGCATGATAAATAAGAATTATCATGAAAGCATGTGCATGCACGTGTGCTGCAATCTGATCGGCTGAAACTTTTAATGTCTATAACTTTTTTAGTTCTCAACGAAACGAGATGAAATTCAGAGTATGAATAGGTATAATGGATTTCTACATTATGCATCTAACAAATTTAAATTCAAGGACATGCATACATGCCCGTGCGCAAGCGCAATACGTTAAGTAACAAATATAGTTGAAAAACAGTAACATTTATATTTTTATGATATTTTTATCAATTCTCACGATAAACAGATATGTTAATGGTTTAGACAACATGCCATTATTAGCTTGCATGTGCGTGTGCATGCAATACGTTAAATGAGATATAGTTGATATCATTGTAGTTCTGATAATTATATGATGAAATCCTTTAATACTGAGCATATTTTAAAAAGTCTTACAGGTAAAATGCCATAAAAAGGGAGTTGGGGAGCGTTTGGGGAACATCTGTAACGGTCCCCGTTACAATTAGAACTAGTTTTTACTCTGTTTCTTACTATTATTCTTTTTTCTTCTTATTTCTTCTCCGGACTTTTTTGTCCACGAGTGTTCTAAGAAACTGTTCACCCAACTGAGCTAAAACCTTTTTAGGGTTAATAGGTGTGTAGTGTAGGTGTGCGGAACGAAGGTCATTTTGCGCGCATACGCATGCACGTGCGTGCGTGTGATATGAGTGAATTGACTGATATACTTAATATAGCCATAACTTTTACAGTTTTTGATGAAATGCTTTGAAACTCATTATATAAGGATATATTGATAGTGTAGATAATATGACACTGTCAAATCAGCACGACCTCACGTGCATGCACGTGCGCTTCGCTCTGATTGGCTAAAACAACAAGAGGCCCATGGGCCTTATAGGTCACCTGAGCATTATTCAACAACTTTCCAGTGATTGAATTTGATCCATGTTTTAAGCCAGATGCTATAGCATTTACAATTTGGTAATCATAACTATACACTTAGCAGTTCCTTAGTTTGGTTACTTAATACCCATAGGCAGGGTAGGGGAACAAAAAATGCATTTCAACAAATCAGTAATATTCAGCAATAATCAGTAGTGCCGCTACCACACATGAATCCTTGACTCTTAGGCTTTGATCCACACATTGCACAATTTTTGGAAAGGCATCCTTGCTTTTCAAAAAAAATTTGATTAATACCAAGGAGCAAATTTCAAACAATTCATTCATTTTCAGTATATAAGTACACCCCCCCCCCTCTATGGTACAACTGACCCTGGGGCCTTGAAATTTACAATTCTTGAAGATTAGGTCCCTTGCTCATAACTATATAGGTAGTTCATCTGCTTAAAACCTAGGAGCAAAGAACAAAATATTCAAAGATTTAATGTTTTTTCACTATACATGTAATAATCAATACAGCCCCCCCCAACACCAGAATCCCTGACCCTGGGGCCATAAAATTCACAATTTTGGTAGAGGCACTCTTGCTTATCATAACTATGTACTTAGTTAGTTTATTTAATACCCAGAAGCAGAGAAATAGATTTTCAAAGAAATAATGTATTTTCACTATATAATCAATAGAGCCCCGCCCTAACACCAGAACCCCTGACCCTGGGGCCATAAAATTCACAATTTTGGTAGAGGCACTCTTGCTCATCATAACTATGTACTTAGTTAGTTTATTTAATACCCAGGAGCAGAGAAGAAGATTTTCAAAGAAATAATGCATTTTCACTATATACTTATTTAGCCCCGCCCTAGCACAAGTACCCCTGACCCCAGGGCCATGAATTTCACAATTTTGGTAAAGGACTCAATGCTGATTACAATCATGCATACAGTTTGACTGCTTGATGTCCAGGTGTAAAGAAGAAGATTTTTAAAGATTGCATTAATTTTAGTGGTTTTGGCCCCACCCCCCAGGCCCCAGGGGGGCAGGGATCATGAAATTCACAATTTTTGTTCCCCTTCACCCATAGATGCTTTGTGCCAAATTTGGTTGAAATTGGTTCAGTGGTTGCAGAGAAGAAGCTGAAAATGTTCAAAAGTTTACGACCGATTGACGACAAACGACGTACGACGAACGACGTACGACGGACGACGACGGACGAAAACAGACAGCAATAGGTCACCTGAGTGACTCAGGTGACCTAAAAATCTCAATATCTTTTTTGTTTTTTGAAGAAATGCTTTGAAATTTAAAACATAGGCATGCATTAAGATATCCTACAATATGATATATAAAAGTTTTCATGAAATCACGCGCATGCTCGTGCACTGCAATCTGATTGGCTTAAATTTTAAATGGCTATAACTCCCTGGTTTTCAACCAAACAGGATGGGATTCAGAATATAGATAAACATTACGGACTCCTACAAAATGGTTTGGTCATCATGCACATGCATGCACGTGCATGAACGTGCTCTTTGCTCTGATTGGCTGGAACAAAATTTTCAATATCTTTATTGTTTTTTGAAAAATTGCTTTGAAATTTAAATCATAGGCATGCTTTAGGATGTCCTACAATATGATATATAATAATTTTCATGAAATCACGCGCATGCACATGCGCTGCAATCTGATTGGCTGAAACTTTAAATGGCTCTAATTCCCTTAGTTTTCAACCAGAAAGAATGGAATTCAGAACATATATAAACCTTATGAACTCCTACAAAAGGGTATGATCATCATGCACATGCATGCATGTGTGTGCACGTGAAATGAGTAAAATTACAAATACACTGGATTAAACATATTTTTTAATACTTTTGGATTAAATGCTGTAATATTTAGTATACTAAAGTATATGAATAGTGTAGACAAGATGATATGGTCATTACGCACATGCATTCAAATGCGCATGCGTGCAATGCTGAAATTTGAATAAACTTGATATACTTCTGGGTAAATATTGTTAAAGTCTAAAATGCGTCGTGTTTGTCTTATTTAATGAAGCTTACAAAGAATATGTCACAAAAGGGAGTTGGGGAGCGTTTGGGGAACATCTGTAACGGTTCCCGTTACAATTAGCCCTAGTTTAATATCAGATTAGTTTATAATGCACTATCAAATTAGTTTTGATTACTTTTCATCAAATTCATTTTAAAGATTAGGCTAGCCAAAAAGAGCTATTTTTAATCCAACAGTCTGGCTGCTCATTTGCCCAATACCCAAGGGGATATAGATAACACTGATGTTCTTCCAGTTAGCTTCTCACACTAAACTCATTAATTTCTCTCTAATTTGACATGCAACTTTCTGCTATCAAAATTCTTGACCAGTGCTTGATAATTATGCCCATGGGACAATCTGAATTCCTTTCATTAACATTGACATTTGTTAAAGATTGGTGTAAAGTATATGATGAAACCAGAAGTCTCTGTCGAGACTGAAGCTCTACTGGTTTGTACTTATAGCAAAGGAAGAGGAAAGTACTTAAGCAGTTGGGAATTGAAACATTACACAGGCAAAAAAGAGAATAATGATCCTTGAATAAGTCTCTTTATGTTCTTAGTGTAGTCTACTTGCAAGCCACATTATATTATAATCAGACTAAAACTGTATTTGAAGTAGCAAATTTGAGAGTAACAGAAATTGCTATCTTTATTAACCAAGGTAATAATGTTCATTGAAGTCAAAAACGGATATAAAGAATTATGTACCTTAGTGTAGTCTACTTGAGTGCCAAGTTATATTGAAATCATACCAAAACTGTAGGAGGAATAGCATTTTGAAAGAATTTCACAGAAATTTCTATTTTTAGTAACAACGCCAACACCGTTCATCGAAATCAAAAACCGATCCACAGAATTATGTATCTTAGTGTAGTCTACTTATATGCCAAGTTATATTGAAATCAGACCAAAACTGTAGGAGGAGTAGCATTTTGAAAGAATTTTACAGAAATTTCTATTTCAGGTAACAACGCCAACACCGTTCGTCGAAATCAGAAACTTATAGATAGAATTATGTATCTTAGTGTAGTCTACTTGTGTGCCAAGTTATATTGAAATCAGACTAAATTTGTAGGAGGAGTAGCATTTTGAAAGAATTTCACAGAAATTTCTATTTTTAGTAACAACGCCAACACCGTTCATTGAAATCAAAAACTGATAGACAGAATTATGTATCTTAGTGTAGTCTACTTGTGTGCCAAGTTATATTGAAGTCAGACCAAAACTGTAGGAGGAGTAGCATTTTGAAAGAATTTCACAGAAATTTCTATTTTTAGTAACAACGCCAACATCGTTCGTCGAAATCAAAAACCGATACACAGAATTATGTATCTTAATGTAGTCTACTTGTGTGCCAAGTTATATTGAAATCATACCAAATTTGTAGAAGGAGTAGCATTTTGAAAGAATTTCACAGAAATTTCTATTTTTAGTAACAATGCCAACACAGTTCCTCAAAATCACAAACCGATACACAGAATTATGTATCTTAGTGTAATCTACTTATATGCCAAGTTATATTGAAATCAGATCAAAACTGTAGGAGGAGTAACATTTTGAAAAATTGTTTACAGACAGACAGACAGACGGACAGACGGACGGACGCCGGACGCATTACTATCGCATAAGCTCTTCTGGTCTCTGACCAGTAGAGCTAAAAAAGAAGTTTTTTTCTTGACTTAACACTTTTTAATATGGATACAACTCTATTTTTTACATTTTTAGGATTATGAAATTTAAAAGACTTAGTTTTTTTAAAAAATTCACTTAAATTAGAGGTCACAGTGACCTTGAAATAGGTTGCGACACACCTTCTACCTAAGATGTATACTTTTGCCAAGTTTGATAGCTCTAGGTCTAATAGTTTTCTGGTTATGAGCCGGACAGGATTTTTCCATATTTGGCCATAGCATCTTTATTAAAGGTCAGAGTGACCTACTTTTTGTGCGCGACACACCGTCTACCCAAGAAGTGTCAGTTGACAAAGTTTGATAATCCTATTCCTAGTCCTAATAGTATCCAAGTTATGAGCCGGACACGAATGGACAGACGGACGGATGGACGGACATGAAGCCTATAACATAATACGTCCCGTCTTAAGACGGGCGTATAAAAAGTATGATTCTCCATAAAGTTTTCATGGATTCTGTTTCCTTTCACTTCAGACCAATGTTACTAATTCTGAACCTTATCATTGTACTGTAGTCCTTCTAATCCATGAATCCCGACATCTGCTATATCGGGGCATCTGAAGTAAGTGTGCATCAAAGTGGTGAAATCAAAAGCCTTGAAGTCTAGAATTAGAATCGTTAGATAGTAATCCTTTGCCATACATGGGGTACACATCCAAAACAGGAACATGAATGACTGATTTCACTTAAATGAATCACTAACCATTGTTGTTGACAGTCAAAGTAAGCTTCAAATCATTTTCTCCCAGATCAACATTGTATACAAGTTTAAATCTGAAACAAATAAAAGTTGTCTTATTTTATGAGAGTAGGGAAAAGTGGGGCTAGTTTACATCAGAACTTGAAATAATAAATGCATGAAGAACTTGCCTGTAATCCCACATTTTTCTTGTCTCTTCATCATCCTCTAGTGAAAATGACATAGAGGCTCTGCCATTGTTCTACAAAGCATGCACTGACAAGCTCATAGTAATTCAGGAAAATAGAAATCATTCAAAGTTAACACAAAATCTTAGCCACCTTTTCATTCACATTAAGAATTTTTAAAACATTCCCTCATGTTTAATGTTAATGAAACAGTCACTTATTAAAATAAAAATCATAAATCAATAGACAGGTAAAAAAAGAAGAATTACCTGTTTCGATTCAGATTCTTTCCTCCATCTTTTTATTCTTGCAAATCCATGTTGAGGTCCCTTTTCCCATGGGCCAAAGCATGCTAATTAAGTGAGTTAATATTTAATCAAACTTATTTGACAATATTTCCACATTTTTTAGCTTTTAAAAAAGTAATTTAACTACTGTGTTTAATATTATTCTTAAAGTAAAAATTAAATGACCCTGAAGAAATTAATCGATAGATTGTTTGTGTATCTCCACTAGTTTGAAAAAAAACTAGCAAATGAACTTAAACATGTTTTAGACTATGCAGAGGAAATGAAAAGAATACTGATAATGATCCTTGGTTTAGCCTCTTTTTGTTCAAGATTAATTGCAATTAAAATAACTATTAAATCCAGTAGGTCAGATCCAGGATTTGAATCAAAATGCAACATTTATGCAAATTTGGTCAGGATTTTTTTCTGGTGAATAACAAACCATATTAAACACCAGAAGAGTTCATATAATTGTGTAATATGCATCATCAATGTATCTGATTAATATGGGGCATCGAATACAAATGCACTATGAAAGACATGTGTTCCCATTTCTTTGATCTAGCTAGCATGCTTGAATGTGCTCTTGTACAAAGTTCCCTCAACTTCATTAAAATGAGCTAAAATAAAAAAAATCAAAGGATATACTTACGGAAAACAAGAGGTATTCCTCCACGGATGGCCTTTTTGTTGTCAAACAATGCATTTTTACTGAAGAAATATTTTGAGCCAATGATTATAAAATTCAAAAATTGCCAAAGTCAATATGCCAAAAGTTATATGACTGGGCATGAATAATTATATAGTTGACCAATTATTAAACTAGCTGGTATTAACTGGTTAACATACCCAGCAGGGCTCTCACACCACTTTTTGGGACTGGGTCCGGGGCCATTCAAATTGGGAAAATTATCCTCAATTTGAGAAAAGTTGGATGACCAACATTCATTGAAAAAAAATCCTTAAACTGCAGTTCTAGCATTTTGTCATCAATTTAACTCTAGTTTTGAATAAACAGTTAAAGTAGGCTATTTATGAAAGTACATTAGCTTTGTCATAACTATCTTTGAGTGTTGATATTGCGGTTATTTGTCTTTCTGAGTGACAGTCACTAGTCACATAATCCCAAATTTCCTCGATCACATGGACAACGTTGCTTACCAATTCAGCGCAAGACTGAACATGCTGAAGCATGAGCATGTTTCTAGGTGCAGCTTACTAATGTTTTTAAATGAAATGTCTATTTTGGGAACCAAAATTATGTTTTTGTCGATTTTCATGACAAAATACTCTGCACTCATTGTTACACATTTCTGTAATAACAATAACCTGGTTCCCCCGAACCAGGTTATGATTGCATTTGGCGCGAACTAATTAATACAGTCGTACAGAACTAGTTCATTTCACTTTCATTTGCAAGTGCATTAACATTTTGTTTTGTTTTGTTTTTTTGGCAATTAAGTTTCAAGGACTTTTATTTTTTAATATTTTGCTATGGAAATGGGAAATTTACACCTTTTTTCTTTTTTGAACCTTTTTGGTACCTTTTTTGCATTGGGAACGGGGCCGAATATCGGCCCCAGATTTAGAGAATTGCCCAGTAAAACCAAATTGGGTAAAATCACCCAGCCTACCTGACAAACAGCACTTCTTGGGCCTTGCATTTCCAGGATATTATAGTGGCACCTAAAAAATTCTTAAGCAATGTGTAATTCAGATCATAAAAGCTAACTTTATCATCTGGATATTGGATAAACACTAGGCCCTAATAATCAAGTATTAAACAGGTTTATTGAACATAACATTTACTATGTTACATAGCAGTATGACTATCTTTGTTCCTGTATGATTCAATATGTATGTCTATGAGTCAATAACTCATTAAGTGATACGTTACTTGTTGATTTTACTTGGACACAATTCACAAAATATCTTGACAGCTTACTACCTGAGCTACTTGTGACACATTCACGTGCTTTATACAAATATCTATAAAATAAAATAATTATACCATGCAAGTGAACGGAAACCTCTGTAGTATCGTTGAGCTTCAATACCGCTACATCTTTAGTGTCCATGTTGAAGTGTTATTGGGAAAAGAAAAGTAGAGTTAAACATCCCGATCCCGACTTCAAATATTCACGAGAGCATTAGGTTTATGATATGATTAGAGTAACGGAACCCATTTATAATATTATACTATCATGTAAATTAGCTGAATCTGATTGGTCGAGAAACATTTGTTAAAAAACACTATTACCCGCTGAATAATGAAGCCACGCCCTCTAGCGTAGCAACAGTCAACAGTGCCTCACGACGGGTGATATTTAAAAAAAAAATAGCGACTGCGCAGAATTTATGCGTGCACGGTTCACTGTTACATATATGTATTTGTGTAAAAGATCCAGTATAGTATAATAAATATTGCATGTAGTTGATTGTAACATTGAAAATTTTCACCCCTTAACTACATGCAATATTTGTATAATATCAACTGCGATAGCATATGTTGTTTACATCTCAAATTTATCCAATACTCAGGAGTATACTCCGAGTAAAATCTATTTTCAATCATATAGTCGCTATTATTGTTACAGGTCTAATAAGAATCAAGACGCTGTCAGGGTTCATGAATTTATTATATATTGAATTCTGATTGAATGATCGATGATGAGCCCTAAAATTGTAAATATAATTTATATAAATACATGTAAATCTGCAAAGCAAATAATTACAAGCATAAACAAACAAACAAACATCATATGAAATATAATGGTATAACAAAATGTTAAACATTATGCTTTCCCTCCATCTTCGCTAACCGAGGGTTTCCGATCCGGATCCGAAATCCAATCGGAGTTCCTCGGATGACTCGTACCTCGCACATTACCTCGGACGTCAACGGTGATCTTCCATCTTGCTGATTCAGTCATGTGATCTTTTTTGAATTTCATTCAAATATTATACTTTTGAAATCCGAGTTACTTTGATGCACACTCAGCACTATGTTCTTGCGTTCAAAGAATAATAACATTTGGTTGTAATTAACACGAGGAATCACACAAATAAAGAAACCTTTTCTAAGAACTTAAGGCAGAGCGAAATATGAAATGAGTGACAAGGCAGTTTCCGGCGGAGAAATGTAGCGATCTGATGCGTATTCCTCCACCTATCACATCCGAGGTTTGAATGGAGCGTAGCGGAGTCAGCCGAGGATTGCCGATTGTCCGAAATCTACTGTTGTAAAGTAGATTTCGGATCGGAAACCCTTGGCTAGCGAAGATGGCTTTCCCTCATGATAACAATACTGCACTCTGAATAAAGGGCAATAACTCTTAATTCCAACTGAACAGATTTATGGGGCTTTACAGATAAAACATAAAAATAGAAGTAAATAGATTTTGATAATTAAGCTTGGTAAATCAAAAATATTTGTCAAACATACTTTATAGCCAGTAGCTTCATTAACCAATTCAAAGTAATAAAAATATCTAAAATAACAAATGCATGTTCTTACCAAAGACAATGTGTCTGGAGGCTTGTAAATATACTGATCAATGCAGAATTGACAAAAAACGGGAAACCAGCCCCTGCTGCTATGAAAATAATATAAAACATTTCAAGGTGCTGCATACACACTTAAATGTAGTTTTCAACATTCAGATTATTTAAAAACCAATAAAACCTTTAACTAAACAAAATTATCAACTTATTCAAATTTTTAACTTTAGATAAACTTTATATTTACTTTAAATGTCATAGTCAAAAGTATGGAGAATTAATTAACAAATTAGTAAAATTAGTAAGAGAAATCTAACCTGCTGCTATCAGGACCAAGGTCTGGGTAGAATGTGAGAAGCATGAATTGCATGAAAATCTACCACCTGACTGACCGGTAAAGCTATACACAATGACCTAACTGACCTAACCAATAGCAGGAAAGGGCAAGGCCTCAATTACCATAATAATGCATCACATGACACTACCAAACTGAACAAAACACTACACACAACTCAAATCACAACACAAGCACATGGCCAGGTAAATATTGAAATCACATTAAATTATATAACCAAACACATTTAATATTCTAATAAATTTTATTTTGACCTTACTACATTATGTCAATGTAAGCAAATATATATATTATTGGTTCATACTTTGGCTGACGTGTTTCACGAGTACCAATTGTTAAGACTTCGTTTTCATACTGAAATTTGACAACGAAATATATTTTCTCTATCAAAACATAGGGCGCATTGCAGTTGTGACCTGTCTACGGGAATGCTTACTCCTCCTAGCTAAGCACCTGACCCAACCTCTGGAATTTTCAAGAGTTCGTGTTTCATTTCCTGTTCACAGCTTTGTATTAATAATAGATTTTTTTTTTCAGATTGACCAATGTTCGTTTACCCCACCATTTATTTACAACAACGCAGATATGTGTAGTTCGTTATCTAAACGAGTCTAAAAACAATTCGAGGTCAGTTATGGACGACAAACAGCTCATCTCGTCCTTATTATCAATCAAACACATCATTAAAGATATAAAAATGATGGAAGCATATCTCCTTAGAAAATTGAATATTCACAGCAAAATGTTATTGATCTAGGATGTCTTATCAATTAATGTCCTCAAACAATCCATATTTAAGGAATAACTGTCTTATTTTTCGAATTCATGAAGTGATCAATGGATTGGCTTGTGTGATAATTTGCATAAACGCCGAAGGCGTTTATGCATAAAATTATCACACAA